CGCTGTGCTCGAAGGTCAACTGCATGAAATGAGCCGCGAAACTTCTCCAAATAGCTGAGCCACGTTTCAAAATTGCGACAGATAAACAGTATAATTAATATACAATACGAATAACCCGTTTCAACTGAAGTCGAAGTCGGCGGCCAGCGAAATTCAAGTAACGGCCAAGCCGCAATTGTATAATTGGGCAAAAAGGGCGCGTCCGTTGCGCAAATCCGCCTTCAAGTCGCGGTCGCAGTTGCCATCGAAGACGAAAAGCATACAACAAAAAGCTGGTCAAGGTCGCCATGCCGTTGCCTTACGGGCCCTCGCTGCGTATACTTGATGGCCCACAGGCGCAGACACAGTTAGGCATACGCTTAACGCCTTCAATAACTCAAGTAACTGCAATTGTGTTCGCTGTTGTTGTTGTTTTTGTTGTCGTCCAATTGAAACTTTAAAGTTGAAATAAGTAGGATTATCAACAACAAAATATCCAATTGAGTTCACTTTGCATGGTTTCTCGTAAGTGTCGTAATCAGCTACCAAGAGTAGAAAGCCCTGCGGCCCCTCGCTATGGCGAAGCTGTCCAGTGGTCGCCAGATTACATAACTCGCACTCGGACGTTGACCTTTTGCTTTTATGTTCATTATTCACATCATCATACACTTCTCTGAGGCTATTATGATTTTGTCAAAAAGTGTGTAACGCACTGCAATAGGCATCGCCAAGGCGTTTATATATAGTAAGTCCAAACCGACCCAGTTGGAGCTTCAAACAAGTTTAAACTAATCGTGATATTCTTATCACCAAATGAAGTAAAAAATTATTGTTAGCTTGCACGTTTTTCTTTCAATGTATATCTAGAAAGTCAAGTTCTTTCCTAAAAGGGTTCATTAGCTTCCTTCTTACATATATGATACAAATGAAGGGTATTTCGACTTCCGCTTGCCGAATAAATCTCTTTTTACATGTGTTTTGCCTAGTTTTTGTATTTTTGTATCTTGCTGTTGCTGGGCACGTGTATGCTCCGTCATACATACCATCATGTATGTAACTATATAACTATTTATATATATATATGTATATATATATATATGTATATAATTTATTAATAATTGCCTTTTAGTCTTGGCATCAAGTGAAACAAAAGAGAACCGGGTGTGCCGGCCGCTTAATTAATGGCCATTTCTGGCTTGAGTTCTGGCAAAGCTTAGTCAACATGTCCTTAGATGGGCAGAACTTTTGCCAGACTCCTGCCAAGCAATTGGCAAGCGGGCCAGGTGTGCTGGCAGCTGTAGTCGTGCCCCTGATTGTGGCAGGTCCTGACCATGCGTCTGCCGCAAGCAATAAATACTTAATAAATAAATAAGTTAGTGCAGTTGGTCAGACCGAATGGGCTACCTTAACGGCAGTCGGTATGCCTCGTTCACCGTCTTGGCCATTTATGTAAGTGGGGCATTATGCATGTTTATTTGAATTTGAATTGCCTGGGAATTCGGACAATTGCCTCAGGTAAAAACTGGGTCGTTTAGGCCAAAGAGCTGCGGTCCAAGGACCCAGCTCTTGATAGCTGGAAGCGATCTTTCGCTGCGAGTGCGTGTGTGCGTTCATCCATGTTGCCGGTTGCAGGTGCACGCGTGCTGGCCGTGATCTGATTACAATTCCAAGAAGGTTTCATCTGTATGTATCGCAACCAAAATATGCGAGCACTAGATGATTCCCTCGCCAGCCATTGCTGACATTGCCTTCGCCTCCGCCTTCGCCTGTCCACGCTTTGCCCCTGTCACAGCCATTGCTGCTGCTGCTGCTGCTGTTGCTGCTGCTGCTGCCTGTGTTTGTTTGCATGCGGTGGCTGTACTCATTACGTGTAATAACTGTGGTAATTGTCACGTAGACCATCCGGCCAACAACTACAACAGCTAAGGACACTTGGCCAGCTGACGTCATGTGCTCAGATAGAGGCAGCGGCAAATGGCGCATTGCAATTGTGACAAATCGAGGGACGAGTGTGCTAATGGAATATGCCACGAGTCACAGCAGCTACCATTCACGGCCCTAAGTCGTAACCATGGCCTAAAGCACAAGCCATGGCCCTGGATTAATAAGGTCCCCACACACACACAGAGTATGCTTCTAGCATTTTCCATTAATAAACAACCAACTTTTATTGAATGCCCAAAACATGACGTGGATAAAGGATGTTGCAATCTACACTCTTATCAATTGCATAATAATATTCGAGGTTGCTTCAAGTACTCGCCTCGAATTATTAGTTTCTGTGTATGCTATAAATAGTTTGATCGAATAGTTGCATTTAATATGCTGAGCAAAGTAAACAATGTTGTGATCATATACAAGCGTTGCGCTATTATTTGAGCACACTGTAGAAAATTAAGGATTTCCTAAATGTCGGTAGGTATGCTCGTGTATTTAAATACGTATGTAAGAATAAAGCATAACGCCCTTCTAGCCGATTCTCATGAATTCAAGTAAGCCCATCAGAGTTTCATGCTTTGATTGGCAATTGTTATTTTAACAAGCCGATCTTGCAATCCAATAAGCGTTATTTTTAAATATATTTGCATATACATACATATATATGTGCGTATGCATAAATACATGTATGTTTGTGTGTACATGTCTGTGCACTTTCCCGTTGCGCTGCAAAATATGCCATTTTATGCAATTCTCATGAATTCAAAAGAGACTCATAGGCTTTCATGATTTGCTTTGAAATGCTATATAAATATTGTGTTGGCAAACGAACAGATTTCACTCCAACCCGTTCTTTACTCCATTTGTGTTTTTATTTTATTTGCAGATGCGAATATATGAAAGTCTGATTGCCACCCACTATAGTTGGCGACATAATAGCTGAGCGTGTGAATTTCTGGGGTAAGTACATGTTTACACATAAATTTCCATATTCATAAGATTATAGATATTAAGGTTAATCAAATTGGCTTTCAGAATGAAAAACTACTCGAAGCTGGAGATGATAAGGTAAAAATTAAATTAACTATATCTTCTTAATGTGCTCAATGCATATTTAATACTCCTTTGTAATTATTTGTTGTTTGTGCGTTCTAATTAATCATCTGTAATTTATATATAAGAGTACTCGCCCACTAGATGCCCAGCTATTAAAAACAGAATTCGTTCGTCATGCTATTATATGTTTCCATCAACATTATCAATGAGGCAGTATGTGGCATCCAATCCTTTTGGTGTCTTAATAGTAATTGCAGCTCCAACCACAAATCAGCAAAGAGCAGCTGCATGTGCAGCTGGTCAAGCAGTAATTGATTTCTGTTGACCACAACATTGCACATACACACGCACAGACGCACAGACGCACACACACACGCACACACCCACAACCAAGCAGCCTGAGGACGAAGCATGTACTTATGCGAGCGTCAGACTCCATGTCCTCAGCCATATCCCGTATCATTGCCGTAATTTATGGAGCTGGCGTTGCCTTTGTCCCGAGCAGCGTGGAGCTGTCAAATCGTCTTACTGCTTAATGGTTTATATGGCAACCAGCAGCTAGCGCAGCTCGGGAGCGGGAAATTTGCACGGAATTTACGCGCTGGCCATTAACTTCAAATGGGCAATCAATTGCAAGCATTCGCACGACGTATTCGTGTATAATCTACTAATTTATTCACTGCGAATACGCTCAACGAGTGCCTGAATTGAATGTTCAAAAAATATCTGTTTCTGGTTAAGACTTTAGTTTGTTTTGTTTTATGTTGAGCCCGCCTAAAAGTATGCTCCGATATTTCCGTTCCATTTAATGCTGTTTTTTGCTTTTGGCATTTACATAAAACATTTATTATTATTTTACATATGAATCGCATAATTTGCATTTCTTAAGTTCGTTGGGGTGTACAGAAGTGAAAAATATTGAAATTTCTGTTTTTACACACACGCGCATATATATTACGTACATATGTTTGAGAGTATATTGTATAGATAATATTTATTTTGTTTTTATTTATTAAACTGTCTTTTATGTGTACATAAATTATTTGACTTAAAGTATCCTGCCTAAATCCGAACAGAACTACCAATTGTTTGTTTTTTTTTTTCAAATATTTATTTTATTTTGAAATTCATTGTTTGCGACAATAGAAATGTACATCTAATGTTCTAGTCCCATTTGTAATACTCATGAATAATCCAATGAGCTGAAACTCTGACCTGTTTGTGCAGCACAAAGTGCACAGGTTCTAGTTAAATAATTCAATTATATGATTCTGGCTAATTTCTAGCTTGGTAGCTACGACAAAATGTCAAATACTAAGTAATTATGTATGAAGTTGACAAATAGTTTAACGGACGGTTTCAAACACGCCTTGTGTGGACTTTGCCGTGACTTTCAACACTTCTCACCAATAACCACACACCACTCGGCATGTTTTGTAAAATATCTAGATAGTATATATTTGTAAGAAATCAAATTTCATGCGTGCCAAGTTTCAAGGTTCTTTCTCTGTTAGTCTTGCTGCTTACTTTTCGCAACAGTTAAAATACGTTTAAATGTAGTTTGTAATACTTTCAATAGAAATGCAAAACAAGATCTATCCTTATAACATTCTTTCTTTTTTTTGTGGTTACTACTAGGTAAACAGTATGAGAGATTCTCAATTCTTCAAATGCATGGTTTAGTTACAATTCAAAGGAGTTGCAGTTGAATGTTTCTCTTGCCACGCCTCTTTACTTATAATCTATGTAAATATGATTTTAAAATATTTTTTTTTTGTTTTTTCATTTTAGTTAATCTTATTCTTGATTGCTTGCACATTTAAACATATATATATAAAAAAAAAATTACATTTGTATAAACACTGAAACGCAGACCGCGAATTGCAGGCCAAGAGAAGTCTAACAATTTACATTTAACAATTAGATTCACAATAAAAGTACAATGCAACAGCTCAGAAGTGATAGATGGTTATTATAAATAGATATATTTGTATATATAATTATATATTTTTTAAGGGTTGCTCTACTGATGCAGCTACTGATGCCATAGAAACCCAAACATAATATTAGTTTTATCCATACCAAACACAACTTACTTGTAGTAGAATCGTTGACAACCACAGTTTCAATTTCTTGCACATCACATACTTATTTTAGAGTGACTCTGTTTCCATCAGCCTCTCACCCGTTGCATTCCTGCCCCTGATTTTGACTGTGTCCCTGTCCCTCTCCCTGTCCCTATCCTTGTCCCTGTCCAGCTTCCGCGTCAGTGTGCGCGGCCTCTGATGCTGACGCCGGCTGCCTCAGAGGCGCGGACTCTCCAGTATGGTGTGGCTGGACATGGCCGAATTGGCCAGCGCAATCGAGTTGCCAGCAACCGATAGGTTCGTCTCATTCTTGGAACGGCGTCGACAAAATCCAAAACGTCCGCCATCGCACAGTCGCATGCCCTTAAAGGTGTCAACAAAGGCACGCCGGAAGCTCGCATTCATGAAGCAATAGGTGATCGGATTACAACAGCTGGACGAGTAGGCCAGCAGCTGCAAGAAGCTTATGGCCGTATAATCCACATACTCATACACAACGGGCCCAATCAGCATAGTCATCGTATTGATCACGTACAGCGGCGTCCAACATATGAAGAACTCCAGCACCAGCACAAACAGCATCTTTACCACCCGCTTCTTGCTCTCCAAGCTCTTGCTCTCGTTGGATCTGTACGTGAAAATAAATATGGAAATCTTAGATGCTGCAATGGTGCTCATAGGGCTCTGAGGCCAGCTCTACTTACCTGCGCAGTGTCGCCTCCGTGATACGCAAACTGGGCGTGGACAACGACTTGCGCCGCTCTCCATCGTTGCCCGCGGTCATGTTGAGCTGCTGCTGCCGCATTCGCTGCATTCGGGCACAGCAGTCTCCAGATCCGCCAAGTTGTTGCTGCTGTTGTTGCTGTTGGCGCAGCGACTTGACCGAGGCACTGCGCATGCAGTAAAGATGACGCCGGCCATCGCAGGAGCCGAACAAGCGGCGCTTGCTGCCGCCTTGTGTGTAGCCTTCCGCTGCAAGAGAATGGGCGAGAGAGAGAGAGAGAGAGAGAGAGAGAACATATCAAAGACAACCGCATGCAATTTATAATGATAGAAGTGATAGCAGCCCTTACTTTGATATATTTCGTACAAAACTAATTAAGTTTTAAATTGGTCAACCCGAGGTCCATGTTGGTCCCCGATTGCCTAGAATCGACTGAGTTTGCTCAGCTGAATACAGAAACTAAAAGTTCATCAAATACCTATGCATACAGCATACTCACTTTTGGTGTTCAAACCTTGTTGTTGATTATTGTAAACAAAATTGAGCTCGAGTCGGCCATCCTTAACTTTAGTTTACACTAAAACAGTTCACTAAAAACTTGTTGTCCTTATGTATGTATATTTTCTCGTACTTTGTGTACAGAGTATAAAATATATAGATTGAGCTGAGTGTACGAAAGGCTTTATTTTGCATGATTTGGAGCATAGACAGGCAACAAAGACAAACAATGGCAAAGATTAAACGCGTTCGATTGAGCGTATACCTAATAAATCATTGTTTCTGACATCATTGGCCTAAATAAAGGGAGCTGTTCGACACATCACCACATATTGTATATTGTATATATTGTATGTACAACAGATGGAAGAGAATATGCACATTTTTGTTTACATTTGTCGAAGGGAAGACTTACACCTACATAAATGTAAGCATGATTCGACGATTTTTCCAATTTAATTTTGTTGTGGCTTACTTGATTCGACTGTTAATAATCGCAAGCTAAAAGCTTGCACGCTTGCTAATGGAACAACATATTTGCATACACAACAGCCGGAATGTTTTTATTGAGAGTGCCCCGACCAGCATATATATTATATACAGACGTATGACGGTCTTTTTGTGAGTATGTGTATTTGTACGTATGCATGTAGGCTTGTATGTATGTATGTATGTATGTATGTATGTATGTATGTATGTATGTATGTATGTATGTATGTATGTATGTATGTATGTATGTATGTATGTATGTATGTATGTATGTATGTATGTATGTATGTATGTATGTATGTATGTATGTATGTATGTATGTATGTATGTATGTATGTATGTATGTATGTATGTATGTATGTATGTATGTATGTATGTATATATATGTATGTATGTATGTATATGTGTATATATAAATGGCCTCCTATACCAAGTTGCGCCAAAAATGTAATATAACGTATTTTTAAATAATGCCCTACTATGCGATTCTCATAAATTCAAGTAAGCCCCATAGATCTTCATATTATTTTGATAATTGTTACATTAAAAATTTGTTCTGTAAGTCAAATAAAGTTCAACTCGTTCATACATTCTCAACTTAAATTACTCTTTTGCACTCCTTTTTTTCTCTCTTTCTCTCTCTCTCTCTCTCTCTCTTTGCCCCTCTATTTCCTCAACTCTCTCTTTCTCTCAGTTAACTTTAACCTTTCTATTTATACTTTTCACTTGTATTTTTTTATGTCTATATATGAAAGTTTTTCGTGCACCCACTAATAGAGGGCAATACAAGTGCGCGTGTGTGCGATTGTTTTGGGTAGGTACATATTTGCATATATATTTATATATACATAGGTTAAAGCATTTTAGACCGGGGCACGGGTTTTATCATGGTGTATATGTACGTTACCATTTCTTTAGCATTTCCCTTCACTGAGGTGCAGCTTTGTTGTGTTTTATTGTGCGTGTGGAACGCATCAGGTTCAATAGCCAGCGGAATGCCATTAAAGCTGGCTAATGTAAATCACAATATAACCAATTTAAGCAACTGACTGACAGCTGGCGCTAATCAACCGCAGTCGGACGATGGGCATTAGAGTGTTTCCGAATGGCAGTCGGACAGGCAGCCGCTGGTTGAATATCGTGGACGTTGCTGCTGTTGCTGCTGCCTCCCCTTAATTGGATACCGAGAGGCCTGCTGGCGCCGGATTAGCAGCTGCTGTGTGCGGACAATGCAAAAGGACTCGATGAGCTACGCCACTCGCGGTCACTCACAATCCGTGTGTGGCATGCGGTAACCGCTGGCGGCAACGACGCGTCGAGCTATTGACCCTATTTTCGCTGCAACGGTTACGATATATTGCTCCAATCCGCCTTCAGCTGCAGCAGTTCGCGGCTCAAAGCCCTTCGAGGCGGCACATGTTGCAGGCAGCCTCAGCTGTTTTTTGCGTGGATGCACAATGCCTCTAGCTGGGCAGGCAAGTGGCCAACCCAGCTGGAACCTTTGTTTGCGCTTCGGACATCAACGGGTGCAATTGTGTGAAATATATAGATGTATATCGAATTTCGATTGCTTTAAATAGTTTTGAATATGCACAGCTGGCCTTGACAATAGCCGACACTGAGAACTGTCGAAAAAGTTTGAAAAATGTTAAACTGGCGCTTTTGTCTTCAAATCTTGCTATTTATTTTAATTGTGTTCTGGGGTAAGTGAGACCACGCCCACTTCGAGGTTATATTGAGTACCAAGCGTTCGCTGTTTGCAGCTGGTATTTGCATTAAGCTGTCGTATGATGTTCTAAAGAAGCATCCAGGTGAGCATCGTAAAGGAACAGACCGAACCGAGTTGGGTAAGTTCGGCCGGTCAAACTGCCCATTTGGCTCTAACCTTTGCCCAAGGTCAGCAATTGTATCCATATGATTTGATGGGCGGCCGAGCGTCTGCCCTTCGCCAGCGTAACGCACTCTTGCGCCGCGAGGGCGTTTTCGACAATGGCTACAGCAGTCGACTGGTGGATCTGGTCTATCGCACTGCCATGAAGAGCACCAACGACCGCAGGCGGCAGGTCGAATTTGAGCAGAGTGTGGCAGCCGCACGACAGATTATCGAGCTGGCCGGCGCGGCGGCAGACGCCGAACGCATGGCCCGTATTCGCCTGGTCAGCGGCGAAGACTCGGTGCCCATCAATGCGCAGGGAGCCATAGATGCGGCAGGTGAGAATCAGCAACTGATTGTTCCCAATCCACATTAATAGGAAATTTGCAGAGCTCGTCGCCGCTGATGATTACAACTTGGCGCACTATACAAGACAAAAGTCAAAAAAGTCGTGAAAAGACTCCATTGCTAAGTCTTCAATTTAAGACTTAATCATTCCACTAACATATTGAATATTGAATTTTAAATATATATATAATATATATAGAGGGTACTCAGAAAAACGGTTCGTAGGTGTAATAACCTGTTTTTAATTATCGTTAAAATATTCTTTTTCACCCAAGTCTTCGTAAGCTGTGCGGCGGAGATTGCAGCTGCAGCCAAGTTAGGATCATAGATATTTCGTTTTATTTTTTTGCCTAACTTCCAAGAGAAGTACCTAAATAAATTTATTTTTAAATTTTCAGTGAAATTCTTCAAGTCGAATTTTCTCTGTATTAAGGAATAATTTTATCATTTCGAATGAATAAAATATAATTTGTGCTGCCAAATCTTGGGCGTTTGTCGTTGTCCTAATAAGAATACGACAAAAATTACACGTTTTAATTTATAAGAATATTAACATAACGCACGTTACTTAGAAACATGTAAAATGAACAGTCCTAAAAGTGCCAAATATTGAATACCCTTGCTTACGCGTGTCTTAACATAAGAATACCAAAAAATAGACTGTACAAATAATTAAATTGGTTGTACCTAATATAAGCCTTCTGATCCATTGGATTGAAATCAGAGGTAAGATATTGTTATGGTCAGAACATAAGAGTTTGATATGCGGACACGTGCCTATTGCATGAGTTCAGTGGCCTGATCGAGCACAAAAGTCTGCTGTCTGCACAGCTCGTGACCGAATTGCGATACCCCATGCGAGGCTTTAATGAAAACAGGACTTACAGCAAATATTACGAGCTTAGGACTCTAATTATATTAAACTTGGTTATGGAAATTACCAGCGAGAGCACCGCGCGCCGCGCATTGCGCTGAGTGTAATAAAACATTTTCGCCCATTTTCCTGAGCGGGGCATGGCTCGGCAAGCCGCCTGACTAACTGCCAGCTCTAGTGGGTTGGCTGCGAGTGCGCCTGGCAATTTATGAGACAAAAATGTTAAGTGCCGGCCGTAAATTGCATAGGTTTTAAAAATTTAATAAAATTTATCATCAACATTGGAGCATTTTAGCATGTCTCCTATTTTTTTTTTTCTTAGCTTTTAGCTGTTTGTGGCAATGTGGTGTGTGCGTGTGTGGAATGTGGCATGTGTAAATGGTGACACCATTTGCGGAGGGGACCTGATCTGGTCCCACTAATTTGTGCGCGGCCCTTTTAGGTCGATAAACGAGATAAGGACATTTAACGAGCCTTTAAATGCTGGAGCCGCAAGCATAATTTATGGTATTTAATTTGACCCTTTCGCTGTGCTTAACCCCTTCTAATGCAAAGCGGATGTGAAGCGGCACTTAGCCTGCCAGCTGGTACAGCCGAGTATCCTTTATGGCAGCACCCTGTGATAATTCATTATCTGCGTTGAGCTTTGCAATTAAAAGCTCTCGGTTAAAGCGCCAGTCTATGCCAATATGCAATTTCTGTTTGCCTTTTTGCCTGTCTGAGCCGCTTTTAAGCAAACTCGAATGGATGGGGGTGATGGCGACAGGGCTGCCAAGTGAACTGGTTTTCTTTTATATTTTTGGTTTGCGGGTCACAGCAAATGGGTAAATGTATACTTTTAGGCACCCGCAGAAAACTAAAAACGTCTCATTTGACTCGCTGCTGTAACTTAACCCATCCGGAACAGGCTCTAATTAACGCAAATGGATAAACGGACTGCCGCAGGGCCGTGCAACCGACTTGGCCAGCCTGACCTCACTTAACCCCAATCTGGCAATAATGAAAACTTCTATTTATGACCTTCTTTAAGCAGTTCCAACGCCATAATTGATTGACAGCGGCAGAGCATTGTGGCTTGAATTTGCTCTAAATAGCAGCAAAAGTTCAAATATAGCCAAATTGGAAAATAATCTGGCAATATTGGTTAAGTTTGGCTGCGAAACGTTTTATACTTAGTTAAAGCAGGGCTCGCGCGTCGAGGCGAATGCAAATGCGAATGAAAGGCCATTTGTGCGGCTCAGTTGAATTTATCAAATGCTTGAAATCAAATGGAATCGAACGGCAGCGATTTATCGTCATATGCCGTCCTATGCGGCGTATGCGTAACGCGGTTAGTTAGGCCCGCATCTCGTTAGACCCGGCAGAGCTGTTGCTGTTGGACTGTTGCAAGCTGGATCGAGCAGGCTGCCGCACTGAAACATATTTTTCGCGTGGATGACTTTGCCATGCAAATTGTGTGTGGGCGAACAAAAACGGGCGACGAAATGGAACAGCGGGCAAGGGGAACTGGAACGTAAGCACAAAATGTTCGCAAATTCAAGCAATTGAAGCTGTCGTCGTCTGATTTTTAGCCTACGCAAAAACTGGGTCTATGCAGCAATTTTCATTTTCTGGTACACTTATTGAAAGAGTTTTCCTTGAGAGAGGGAAAGATGGAGCAAAAGAGATACATTTAAAGTCAGAAAGTGTTAAAGCTTGAATACAGAACCCAACCCAAATACTCAATAATTGAAAGATCTCTACATACACAGGTGCGATAAAAATACTATTAACTAATATTAGTTCTTACCTGATATATATATATATTATACTGGGCCTACTTACCATAATAGTACTGCGGTGGTCCGCTTGCTTTCTGCTGCTGAAGGAGCATATCCAGCTTTGCGCTGCCATCGATGGCCAGTGCTTCCTGGCGCATCTGCATGCGCATCAAGTAGTTGGAGTTACCGTAGGTGCGCCGGATGCCGGTGCAGCTGCTGTTGTTGTTGCTGCTGCTGCTGTTGGTGGTGAGGCCGACGTCGGGGCCGCTGCTGCCAAAGTTCATGGCGCGCTCGTTGCGCATGCTCACATAGAGAGTCCGCGTGATAAACAGATAGGCAAAGCTGAGCGCCATTAGCGGTAGTACGAGAAGCGCCAGATTGAGAAATATGTTGTACGCCCGCTCATAGCCCAAAGAGTTGGCAGGCCACTGCTCCCGGCATTTGCGCAACCCTGCATATCGGAATAGTTAACACAAGGACTTTGGCTAGCTGACCTTAGCCTGGCGATTGGTTTACTCACCCTGACGACTGGTCGGCATTAGTTGGCTAAATATCGCGATCGGTGTCATGCAGACCAGACTGCCCAGCCAGATGAAGGCGATGATCTTGTTGGCATGATTGATGGTCTGCCAGGTGCGAGATCTTAGCGGATGGCAAATGGCATAGTAGCGCTCGCAGGATATGGCCACCAAGGTCCAAGAGGAAACTGCCACCGAAGCGGCTGCAAATAATCAATGTCAAAATCGAAAGTCCATAAATATGTTGCAGTGTTCAAAACCCTATGAAAATGGTCCCGCTCGTTAATATCGATAGTGCGGATATCTAATAAATGCATCTATTTATATTTATTCAATTTGCATAATTTATTCCTTAAGATCAGAGAATGTGGGTCATGTTTATTTATTCATAGAGCTAAAATCGAGTGGCCCCTCTGATGACTGATAATATCGATACAACAAACAACAAAAACAACAAAAATCTTAAGCTTATTCATTAAGATGACCAAAGTTTATTCAGTTCGGCGCCATAATATTCATACGCGATAGCTGATGACCTCAGTTATGGATAGTTCCACTAACTATACAATGCATTGTATGGTATGTGATAGTACTATTTATATATAATATATAAATTTACGGCAGCTGCAGAAGAAGTAAACAACCTTCGATTGCTTTCAAAATCGATGCTCTTCTTATTATGATCGATGACTCCCGAATGTTTTGGAATGTTCAAATAAAGCCTCTTAGATGGTATTTAACATGCCATCGATTCGGGCATCACAAGTTGCGTAGTGGAAAGGCACTCATTACATGAGACGCATCATTAAAATGCTAATTTATACCGACTTTGGTATCGGTTGCGGTTGCGGCTCTACTTCTCGATTCGTTTGTCGGTGTGGGGATAACAAATACAAACCATTTCGGCCAGGACAACGATAATGATAAAGGCCAAATGGTGGCCAACGTTAACTTTATTTACATGTCAGTCGTCTGCAGGCGGCATCCCACCTGCGGTGCCACATAATAAAGTCAACCCACCTCTGGCAGATATGCATCATTCATCATAGCACTCTGCACTCGCATTACCAATGGAAGTTGTAGTACTCAATTTGGGCCAAATGCCAAATACTGCTGCTGATGATGATGATGATGATGATGATGATGATGATGATGATGCGCGGCTACCAGTGAAAGGGCAGAGGCCTGCTGCCCTTCTGTTGCTGTTGACTTATGTGGAGGCAAAAGAAAAGAACCAAAATTAGGCCTTGTGTTTCCATCAAAAGCCGTTTCCCATATTCCCGTTCACTTTTCAGAATCCGCTGGCATGCAGATAGAAAGCAAACAGTGACACCGACACGCAAGCATTAAGGCCCACGAATGTGTGGGCCAACAGAGACGTTGGGCTAAAGGTTGAGGATGGGCATCGGGGAATGGGACCGTGTTCCTTGTTGGATTTGGGGGCTGCAAAGTTGAAACTGTTTTTGGTTCTCAGTGGGCGTGCGAGTGTGTCTGTCTGTGTGTGGATGTTTGTTTGTGTGTTTTTGTTGTTGTTTTTGTGTGAGCAACAACCCATTAGCTGAGCGTGAGCCAAATTGTTAAACAAGCCAAGCTCATTAACAATGAAGCAAAATTAAATTTAGCTCCGCCGCAGCTCCGCATCTGACCACGGCCATGGTTCAATGAGTCCGCCCGCAAATAAACATGCAAATTTTATGGAAATGCTAAATATAGGAAAATTGGACTGCGACAGATCCCATCCCCGGCCGACGTAGAATCTAGCTGGCCGAATACACAATAGCGGCGTACACGCCAATCCCATAGGCAATTCTTTGAAAAAGCACTTGACTAAATATGTTGAAAATGCTGAAAATGTTGAAACTCAGATGGGCCCCACAGATTTTCAAAATGTAAATAAAATTTCAAGCAATTGTGTTTTATGTGGCGCACGTCGCACAATATCCAGATATTATTGTTTTGCCCCTGCAGCCTACGTTATTGGAATGCAAAATCTGCGTAGTTTCCCGTGTGAAAGGTCGTTAAAGGACTGGAGCAAAGTGTTCAATCTCCGCAACAGTTTAAAATTGCTTGAAGTCACGCCAGGGCATTATAGACTTAACTTATTGAATGTGTGTAAAAGGGGTATATTGGTTTTGTGCACCTGTGTGTAATAGGCAAAGGGAAGCATCTCCGGAACCCATAAGGTGTATACTATATTAATTATCAGCATTGAAATGTCCGCCCGATCTACGGATCTATAAGATCTGGATTTTTAATCGATAAAAGCCGATACCGAAATCCTATTCTCTCAAAATTGAACAGTATTTTAAACCAAGTATATTTTGCTTTTTGAATACCAACCCCTAATAGAATAATCCTCCTTGATTCACCTGCATCTATTGGAAGTGCTCAGTCAATCGAAAGGGACAAAAAATCATTTACATATTTCCATTCATTTAAAATTTATTTTATTAACCGAAGTTAGCTTACTTGAGCTTGAATGGAATTTTTTTAAATTTTCGTCACAATTTTGCACATTAAATATAAATTCGGAATTGTTAAAGTGATTACAAGCAACTGCCCGGGCCTAAAGGGCTTTAAAATGGCTTACGCTTAATGCATAATTTCATAATAATATTTAAATATTCAATAGACATTTTCAATTGGGCAATCGCCGTGGGCCAATTTGCTAGGCATGCTTATGGCCAATCGCATTGACGCGGCTATTTAATTTCGAGCTCGTTAAGCTTTGCTTTATGCGCATATTCGAACACGCAAATTTATTTTTAACATTAGCGTGAATCTAGATTTCGTATCAGATTCAGTTCTATTTAATTTAATTACTTTTTATTTAATATCTTGGACAAATAAATACTTGACAGCTACTTCTATTACTCGAACTACTTTTACTTTATATTCTTTTGTTTTCGTAAATATGGTATCAGAGGTCCGTGTCGCAAGTCAAGTTCTGATGGGACCACTTGTCCCAGAGGGATTTTAGGTAAACGTAGAAAACATGCTGGTTTGAAAATATAAAAATTGGTTTATTGGTTGTTAAATTCGGCTTATTTTGTGAAGTCGACAGCAGACTTGTCCCCATTAGCCGACTGTCCGGGCATTAAATAGGATTTTCAGTACACCTCTTGCACTGGCATAGTGCCCTCTTTTTTGCTGCTGTTTTGCTGTTGTTGCTGTTGCTTTTCTGCTCTATGGTAAGCAAGCAACAGGGATTGAAATTTGGGGCTCAAATGCAGGCTCATTGAATTGTAAATTTCCTAAAATGGGCTTGTATGTGGGCAGCGCCTGTGGCAGGTAATGTCTATGCAGCTATCTCATTTCTCAATTCCCATTTCGCTAGCTCTCGCTAGCTTGACATGCTTTGCATGCTACACGCGCAGAAGCCCCAAAGCACAAACACCCAAACGCCCAATCGCCCAAACGCCTGGACGCCCACGCACGGCATACGCCCATGCACTCGGAGCTTTCTATTGCAGTTCTAACCATTTCATTCCGATTCGTTTCATTTCGTGGGGCTGCTGATTATACATTTTGCCATTTGCATTATTTATTCAGTGGACTGGGACAGTTGAACACGTTTGACATTTAATTACAAACCGCATTCTCTAATACACACGGGCTTCATTTGGGCACTATTGTTATATACGCCGCCGCTGTAAACGCAAATAAGAGTCAAGAAAATTATTTTGGAAACACAAAAAGTTCATACATTTATTGACGGATACTAACCCATCTATTAACAAGTGGTTTTCAAAATAAGCTCTGTGCTTTTCAAAATAACATGATTTTGATAGGCAACAGATCAATCAAGACGACGCCCTCAAGTCGAGGGCTAGCGTATGGATACAACATTGTCTTAAGCCGAGGGCCATACATATATATATATATATATATATATATATATAATAGTAATAGACCATTATGTGCTTATTATTGTCGTGTGTGTCTAGTATTAAGAAAATAGTCCGATTTTCTTGTCCAGACCAGATTGCTTGGCTTACTCTATGATTGATGATCCACATCAAAGTTCTAGTCAAATGCATTTTTGGCACGCTAAAATTCACATTTGAAGCAACACAGACAAGAGTTGGATTGTTGTTGCATTAAGTATATATTTTGACACGTCTTGCGTGCAGCTATTTCCAAACATATATAGCCAAGAAGACATAAAAGAAGGCATTTATACAAGAAGGGTATTTAGGAAGGATCTTTTCCCTGCAGACTAATCTACCGAAAAGTGTAAACTTTTTCTTTTAGTGCTTGAATATATGTTGCTGTTGGAGCCCTTTGACGCATTGTTCAGCTGATTTTCAAATGTAAAATTGGTTAGTTATAAAGAGTAAGTTATTTACTTTCACTTCGTCCATGATGTTAATTACTTTACCAGAGTTAAATGCGTTGAACACTAACAAAAGTGAGTCAATAGCTTTGCAGCCAAAATTCAAGGCACTCCACTAACGGATGCCCTTTGCCCCGGGGCAAAGTCGTACCAATTTGCTGCTTAATTAATTCATATGAAGCCAGACGCCCAAAAACTCTGAACATGTTTTTGTGTTTGGCCCAACAGCTACCGAGTTTTTGTGCGGTTGTCAGGAACAACAGCTAATTTGCATGCAACAGCGCCCACCTGTGCAATCCCACAGGTGTGGCTGCCCTCCTCGACCAATGAATAGTATAAGGGTGGAGTTGGGGCCTGGAAAACATTTAGACCGCCTCTGCAGCACAGAATTTCGCTGTAAATGCAGCCAACATTTAAGTAAATAAATAAAAGTCTGAAAAACTACAGAGAACTTTTAGCAGGAATCAGTCAATAAGGCAGACCCAGAGAAAGTTGCAACATTGAATATGGTTAAGTTAGCTTTGGCCGAGTTGCATTTACAACTTGGCGTACAAGTTGCAAAGTCAGAAACGTACATCAAGAGTAAATTAAATGTTGGTTCACCTAGTCGACACCGCACCAACCATTACCTGTCCTGCCCTGTCAACTTTAAATTCTAAAGTCTTCCCAGTCTCTGCTCGGGTGATACGTTGAAACTTTTAATTTTGCTGTGATTAACTTATTTCCAGATCAAATGCTATTTTCCCACATTTTCAGTATGTTGCCCTGCTATGAATTGGTGTAGGCGACTAACTACGCAATTTCAAACGATTTTATAAATATTTCAAAGGGGTTAAATCGCCAATGTTCATTCATGCATTTAGCATT